GAGGAAGACCCTCAATGAGATGGATTGACACAGTAGCTGCAACAACGGGCTCGGGCTCAAGCATAACGATTGTGAGCATGGCACAGGACTGGGCAGTGTTTTGTTCTGTGGTGTATAGGGTCACTATGAGTCAGAACTGATTTGACATCACCTAACAACAACAACATGGTCAAGTTAAATTAATCAGTTAAGGTCTTCATTATCTTAGAGTTTTTATTATGAAGGAAATTAACTGTTAACTTTTTAATTTAGTTTCATCTTTATAAATGCCACTTCTTAGTGGCTTTCTCAGCATAAATTTACCCACAGTGATTTATCGGATTGACAAAGTGGCTGCAAAAATGGGCTCAAACATAGCAACAATTGTAAGGATGGCGCGTGACTGGGCAGTGCTTCATTCTGTTGTACCTGACTCAGTGGCATCTAACAAAAACAAGTTTATTTTTAAAATAACTTTAGGTTTTAAATAACGTTTATTATTTTTTCTTTCTACAAGTGTAATATACCTCTCAACAGTGGTAGCAGATTATTAGAGCACAAGGAAGACTATAAAAATCACTTGTAACCCTACCATCCAGCAATAACTGTCATTAATATTTTAGTTTATATGCTTTCAGTAAATAATGTATTTGTTGTGTATGAATATTTATGTGTTTATTTTTGAATTGGGATCGTACTGTGTATGTTTAATTGAAACCTGCTTTAACAATCTCAAAATTGTTCTAGGTCATTTAAGATATTCCTACAACATGGTGTGTAAAGGCTGCAGGGTTTTCCATAATGTGGATATACCATAATTCATTTCAGTAATCCTCTATGGTTGGACATTCAAAATGTTTGCAGTTCTGTGCTGTTAAAAAGCTGTGATCCACTTTAAATTTTCCATTGGCTTGAAAGCAAAAAGTGAAGATTGTTATTTTGAGTTGTTTTTAAATGACTTATTTGATTTGCTCTTATACTTCCACACTGTTAGATATAGTCATAAGGTGTTTGTGGGTGCTTAAAATCAGGATCAGAGTTTGGGGAACAGCTTTAAAATCTTTTATTTCATCAGTTTTGTTTTCCCTTACGTGTTCATCTTATTTTCACAACTAGATACTGAACTCAATTGTCCATGCCATCTCTTAATAAACTAGTTTATTTTCTATTTGAGCAATTATTATTACTGTAATTCCCTCCCTTTGTAATAGTCAAAATACAAGAAATATAGAACATGGAGAAACTTTCAGGAAAGGCTTCATTATTCTTTAGCATGTTTGAAACAGTGTGTAACTTTAAAAAAAAAATTTTTTTTTTAAGTTGTTTTTCTTTATAAAAATTATAATTTGTCTCTTTGGCCAAGTTTTTTATCCTGATAGATGTGTGTGGTTTCTGTTGTGCATAGGAATGTATTGTATGTAAAATTGGCATTACCATTCTTTATCCTCCTTTCTGTCAGATCTGTGTTAAAATATTCTCCATTATATTTGTTCTGCAGCTAACTAAGGCTCATCGACAAGGACACATGGTGAAAGTAGATTGGCTGGACAGATTGACATTTAGAGAAATAGAAATGATAAATGAGGTGGGTTTTATCTCTTTTTTTATTTCAAAATTTCTCCAAATTTCTAACTCAGCTTTTTGTTTTTTGAGATTTATGTGGGGTAATCAGGGTTAAACTGTAGTTGTACATTCTATTCTAGTAAGTGGAAAACTTGGGCTGTCAGCCTTTCTTATATTTTAATGTAATGTTGAAACTTGAAGTTGGTAGTGAATATCATTAGTGTGCTAAATAACCATATGAGTGAAGCCTATGAAGGCTTGATCCCTCACTTGTGTGGCTTCTGTGCTTATCTCTATTCTCTTTGGCAGTTCTGTTCAGGTTCAAGTCAGTGTTGGGTAAATCTTCCATGAGCCTAGCGCTGCCTCTTCACTTCTATTATCTTAATTCATCCTTAGCCAAGACCTGTCCTTAATTAAGATACTGCTTTTATTATGTATTGCATATAGGAATTTACACCCTTAATAAAGTTAAGGTTCAAGTAATGTATTTATTCACATTGTGTTTTGGGGCAGAATGTCTACAATTAAAAGATGGCTTCAGTGAGACACCTTCAAAAGTTGTTATAAAAAAAAGTTTGCTTTTTTGTATATTTTTTCTGAAGTACCAGATGTTCTGTGTCTTAGAGCACACAAACAACAATTATTAATCAAATTAGGAGAGAAGAGTATCAATTTTGTGGTATGCTTAGCTTATAATGACCACCAAAGCTATCATCTGACTTAATTTATATTCTCTGAACGATTTTTAGCAGGTAAAAACAGAAAAATCTTTAATTTTACAGTGAACCCTTCGATAGGGTTGCTATGAGTTGGAATTGATGCAGCAGCAGTGGGTTTGGTTGGGGTTTCCTTGTAGAAGTTAGATTCTAGCATTTTTTTTTTTATGAATGTAGTGTTTTTTTCACAAAATTTATATTTAATGTGAATAGTGAGTATCTTTTCTAGATTTATTCATACTGTATTCTCATATACTCAAACCAGGAGAGTCCCCCCCCCCCCATTTTTTTAATAGTCACATTCCAAAGATAGTTTAATCAAAATGTTTACTTACATTTTTCTGTTCTTCAATTTTGGTATCCCTGGATAGTAGATGTATTGTTATGAATTACTTTGCCCAACTCCCCTACCTCCCTCCTCTTTGAAAAAAGTACATTGCTACTACCACTATAGAGTATAGTATGCTTCATAAAGCTAAACAAAGTGACCTCTTCAGACCTGTGTGTTTTTGTGCATGTAGATTTAAAGCCATCAGTTTATATAGGTGGATCAGTCATATGATTTAAAGGTGAACTGTTTTTGTTTAAAATTGACAGAAGTTCGGTCTCTATTTTTGAAATAAAATAGTTGTCATGCAAATTTACACAAAAAATCTCCAAGGGTTTATATTAAAAAATCCAAACAACTACCAAATAAGCAAAAAATGTTGTTAAGTTTGAGGAGGGAGTTACAAGTGAATAGTAGAGCCTACTGGATAAAACAATACTGTTGCATATATATTATAATGAAATAAAAAGTTATTATAGTTTAAGCTGTACTTGGTAGGTATAATACTGCATTGGGAAGAAACACGGATCTGTTGAGAATGTTGAAGGTAATCATTTTTCATAAATTTTTTTTTTAGAGTGAAAAACGAAGTTCTAATTTCATGTACTTAATGGTTGAATTTCAGTGTGTCAAGTGTGAAGATAAAGAATATGGTATCGTGTATTATGAAAAGGTATTTGCCTTGGAACTGTTTATGGTCTCTAAAGTAGAGGGGAGGGGAAACATTAAAAAAAATGACTGGTGTTCCTGCTGAGATGAATTATTTGGTTGCAGGATAGCAGCAGACAGCTGTCAGCAGCAGCTGTTCATGTATACACAAATCAAATCGTATAGCTGCAACAAGATTACAAAAGCCGATCATTCATATAATGCAGTTCTTTGTTGCAGAATTCAATAAGTGTGCAAGTGATTAAGAACTTTTTGATTAATTGTTCTGCAGATTGGCCAGCAGGACACCGAAGTAGTAGTTTTCTTTGCAATTATTATTCATTTGAAAAATAAAAAGATAATCATATTTTTTAAGTGTTAAATGACTGAAAGAGTATATGTTGTTATTTATATATATATATATATAATATGGTGGAATTGTATATGTGACCCTAACAAAAGTATGTTTATGAAAGACTTCATAAATATGCATTTATTTCTATAATATATGTAAAATTAGGAAATTCTTGCTACAGTTAAGCTTAGTAATAACAAGAACACAGTTAAAGATGTGCTTTGGTCTGATTATATGAAAGAAAGTAGTTCTCTGATACGTAGCTACTTGAAAAATATCTATGCCTTTAAATGCTTATTGAAATGACTTCATTTGAATACCACCGAAGTAATTGTATTCATAGTTCAAAAACCACATAAACTGGATGCCTTCTGTTATAGTGAAAATAGGTGTTTAAGTCAGTGCTAGTTGAGGACAGACTTTTGGTACATGGTATAATAGATTAATGTTTTTCTGGATATAGCTAATATATGCAGTTTATTTCTTCATAAAAGCACTTTCACATTACATTTACAAATTAGTGTTACTTATTAAAGCTGTCCCAAGTGGTTTTTAAAATACATATATTTTTATAACCATTTGAAAGATATTTCCATTATGGAGGTTTAGGGTTTGTTTAGTTAATTTAGTGTCATTTTCCTGGTATTTTCAGGTTAATATTCTTTTTTCTTTAGCTTCTACCTTTTTTTCTTTATTGAAAGGTTAGGAAAAGTTAACTTCTTTCAGCTTTTGATTTTATGCATGATACACTCTGGGAAAAAAGAATGTAAACTATTTAACATTGTTTATTAATTTACTAGAAAACCTGTTTTAAAAAAGGGAAATGTAGGTGAATAAAATTGTCTTCTCATCAGTGCATTTTAATAAAATCACATTTTACATATTATACTGTATATAATTTCATTAAAAGCAATATGTCCTGCCTGTATGTGGTTTATATTGCAAAAAATATGCTAATAGAGATGCTACTTTGGAACACTGGAGATATAAAGGGTACTTTGAAAAACAGCTTTGATAATAGATGAAGTAATAACAGAAAAGAAATTAGAAAAATCTCTAGTTATTTTTGAAAAGGTTCTTGACCCCTTTCTACTGCTTCCTGAAAATTGCTCATAAATTAGTACCTGTCTACCCACCCTGTCATATTTCCACTTGGTGTAAAGATTGCTAGACCAGTGTATTGAATCTACTGGAAAAAGACTTTCTTGTCACCTCTCTTTTGTGACAGATAGCCTTAGTGAAGAGTACTTGTCACAGTTGGGCTGATAAATGTGTTTTCTGGTATTGTGACTGAGAACCAGCCTGTTAAACAACAGTTGTGGGAATTTGTGGTTTTCTGTAAGACTCAATTACTAAACTAAAGTCACAGTGCTTTCCCTCTTTTACTCTCTCCTGATTTTTTGCAAATACCTAAAATTGAAAATATATTCATTTGGAAAAGAAAAGCTTGATGCTAGGTATACAATTGTGAGGAAATGAATTTTGACCTTAATTAGTTTACCTTTTCCAGTAAGCACAGATTTGGACATTTATTATGCACATTACTTTTCCTGCCTGGATTGGATACAAATAAAAGCCAACATTCTTCAAAAATGATAATAACAACAAAATAAGACTGCTTTATTTCTAACGAATTGATTGATTCTTGTTATTCAAGTTTGCATTGTGTTCGGTAGGTCCCCCTCTGAGGAGCAGTGCTGCTGAGTCTCTAGCTGTGAAAAATTTGAGTAACATTAACTCCATGCTTAAAATTCTTTGTGGAATGTAGCTTAGTTTTGATCCCTTGAAACATTATCAACGTCTACTTAGTAGTTTTTGCAAATAATATGACACATCCATTATGCTGTTTTAGTTATGCCAGTCTACTAATTTCCATGCACTTCGTAGATATAATGGATTGAAACAGTGGCTGCAGCAATGAGCTAAAAATAGCAATGATTGTAAGGATGGCACAGGACCAGCCAATGTTTTGTTCTGATATACATAAGGTCTCTATGAGTCCAAGCTGATTCAATGGCAGCTGACAACAACATAGATATAAAAACTGTAATACAAATTTTTTTAATGTTAGACTTCATTTTTCTCAAATTATATTATCAGTAACAATAGGATCAATGATGCATATGTATTTTAAAATATAGTTGAATGATAATAAGAATTTTTTTAAAGGGGGATATGATGTTCATTAAATAGAATTAAAATATATTGTAGAGTACAACATTGTGTATTGTTTCTTACCATTTGTTTTTTGTTTGTTTTTGTTTTTTTAACTTGTAATCCAGGATGGTGATGAGTCATCTCCAATTTTAACAAGTTTTGAGATCGTGAAAGTTCCTGACCCTCAGATGTCTATGGTGAGTTATTTATTATGTAAATTTCTTGTCAAATTATTTTTCTTCTAAGCTATTATGACAGATCTACATTATATGCTTTCTTTTTAAAAAGTATGTAACTACTTCAGTTATCTGGATATGATTCATAAGCGCATTTCATCTGTCTGGACTCAGGTTCAGATGGAATTTTTATAAGGAATTTTGACATCATAAAAATAAGATCAGGATACTGTAGGTTTGGGGAATCATTTTATTTGAAGAGTAGAAAAAGCTAGGGAATGCAGTCTTGAAAGGACTTGGGAGAATTGGTATTAGAAAGAGAGAATAGGTATTTATCATAAATAGAAAAGGAATTTATAACAGCTGCAGAAGTAACACTGGGATCAATGGATGAAACTTTTAGGAAGACTGATTTTATTGCAAAATAAGGGAGGTTTTTGTAGCTACTGGAACTTTTCAGTTTAGAGCATGGTTACTCAGGTAATGGTGAGATATACCTACCTGTTAATGAAATTTTAAGCTGATAGCTCTCTCAGCGATGTTGAAGAGCAAGAATTCCTGCTTTGCATAAATAAAGAAAGTAGCCATCAATAATAATAATAATAGTCATCCTTAGAAGCAAGGATGACCACACACACTGTCTCGTTTACTTTGGACACATTATTGGGAAGGACCAATCCCTGGACATCATGTTTGGTAAAGTAGAGGGTCAGTGAAAAAGAGGAAGATCCTCAGCAAGATGGACTGACACTGGCTGCACCAGTGGGCTCAAGCATACCTACTGTTCTGAGAATGGTGCAGGACCAGGCAGCATTCTGTTGTGTTATGCATGGGGTCTCATGAGTCAGAAACGACTCCATGGCACCTGACAACAATATAACTAATTATAGCTTTAGTATTGTGGATGTTATAATTAAAAAAATAGCAACAACTACAAACTAGGGCCCTTGTTAAACATTTTTATTTTTAAATGAAAGCAAGCAAGCACAAAACAAAAGCTTAAAAAATCAACCAGCTCCCTTACCCCCTGTGTGCAAAAATTCAGGTTAGCTTGTAGCAATGGTTATTTACTAAATGGAGGATATATTTCAACAAGGAAACTGAGCTGCCATACCACAATATCAGACAATATAACAGTATAAAGCCCTTATAATGACAGCAGTGTAGTACTGGCATATGTATATACAAATAGACTGGTAGAACAGAATAAAAAGCCCAGAAATGGACCCAAGTACGAATGGGAATTCAGTATATAATAAAGGTGGCATTTCACCCCTGGAACACAGTACTGGGGCAACTGATTAGCCATTTGGAAAAAGATAAAATTAGATCCATACCGTACACCATGCATAAGAATAAACTCCAAATGGATCAGAGATCTAAGTGTTAAAAAAAATGAAACCATGCCAGTACTTTACTCCCAATGGAAGGGAAGACTTCAACTATGCCTCAAAATCCAGAGGCAAAAAAACAAAATATTGATAAATTTAACTACATTTAAAAAAATGTAAAAGTGCACTGCAAAAACACTATGTACAAAGTCAGAAGACAATTAACAAACTGGGAGAAAGTATCTGCTATATATATATCACAGATAGAGAGCTAATGTATCTAATATATAATGAACTTTTAGAAATTGAGAGGCAAAGGGACCAGAAAGCTAATTAAAAATTGTAAAAAGACATGATCAACAATTCACACATACACACAAACACATTTAATATAAAAAGTCCATTAAGCTTTAGATGTTCAAATTTAATGATTTTGTCCATGGGTGAAACACAACTCGATGTGTATATTTAAGCTATATGATCATTGTCTCTTTTCTCAGTAATTGGCTGTTGAATTAACTGCTAAGGTAATAGGATAGTGATGTCAGCATGTGTCTAGTAGCTCAGTGGAGGGGGCATGCTTTTGTCTGGGTTGTTAGAAGATTTTCGAATGATGGTGATATTTGAATGTGTAAAGGATGTGAAAGCCTTGAATAGTGGAGAGTGAGGGGTAGAAATTTTAAGAAGCTGGAGCATATTATGGCAGTGAAGTGTAGGTCATACTTAGATGCCACTGAATGAGCTAGTTGATCTAGTGGAAGACCCCATAGGGGAGCACTGGGAGACAAGCCATTTCTGTTTTCTGTTTTCCTATCTCAAAATGAGGATATATATTTGAAAGACATAGGGACTAAAATTGTAGGAAGAATAAAATGTTAAGTATTATAAAATGGTCTTGAGTATAAGTAACTATTTCGTTTTCTGTTTCTAACTGGCTGTTGAACCTTGATGTTAGTTACATTGTCAATTAAAATTTTTAAATAATTTATAGGAGAATTTAGTTGAGAGCAAACACCACAAGCTTGCCCGGAGTTTAAGAAGTGGACCATCTGACCACGATCTCAAACCTAATGCTGCCACGAGAGATCAGCTAAATGTAAGAGAAATTATGAGATGTTAATATAAAATAAATGAATATTTTGGCTGCAGCTGTTGTGACCCCAATTCACTTAATGACTCAGATGTACATTTTTACGAGATTAATGAACCCTAGGTAATGTCAGCAATTTCACATTTCTGTAGTTTTATAATCATTTGGGGGCTTTCAGTAGATGTATTAGCCCTGGAGACAGAGCTGCAGGTAGTGTATACGTTTGTGATATTCCCACTGCCGTCAAGTTGATTCCAACTTACAGTGACTCTAAAGGACAGAGTAGAACTCCATGGGGTTTTCAAGGCTGTAAATCCTTACTGGAAGCAGACTGCTACATCTTTATTCTGTGGAGTGACTGGTGGGTTCAAACCACCAACCTTTCAGTTAGCAGCGAAGCACTTAACTACTGAGTAACCAGGGCTCTTTTCTGTGATACAGAGTTCTGAGAAACTGGCCCTAAGGTACATTACCCAAGAGAGGACTCAGCGTGCACACCTGCATCTTTGTGTGCGAGTTGACAAGAATTTTTATTGTTTTGTTTTTTTGTCCTTGGTTTTCTGGGGCTTTTGTTATTTTGCTTTATTTTGTTTTTGGTAGAATTAAATTATCTCTTTAGTTATATGATTCTATACTGAGTGTGGCTTTTTCACTTTTTTCTACCCCTTACCCTCTAATAATCTCCTTTTGGATTGATAATTACACCAAATTGAAATCCTACTGACTGCATGTGCATTTTCCTTGCTTATATAATAGTTCTATTATGGAAATATTTAATTAAAAATTTTTGAATGAAATGGAAATATATTGGAAGTGTATATTTGATAAAAATTGTTCTTTTTCTTTTTTTGTTATAGATTATTGTGAGTTATCCACCAACCAAACAACTTACATATGAAGAGCAAGATCTTGTTTGGAAGTTTAGATATTATCTTACTAATCAAGAGAAAGTGAGTTTCTTGATTATTTTCATCCTCCACATTTTTCTGCCAACTTTGTTGCTAATGATCAGGAATGAGGTAAAACTGACATGGAACAAATAGAATGTAGAATAAAATGTAGAATTATTGTCAAGTTTAAAAAAATTACAGAGAAGTATGTAGTATATACCACTAAAAAACATTTACAAAGGTGTATACACAAAGACACCTGTACTTGTTTGTTGATACATAAACAGTGTCTGAAAGGATACACAGATGGCTTCCTTTTAGGGGGGAGTGAAGTAGGGGACCTTGCATTTTTATGTTAAACTCATTCTCTACTGTCTTTCTAAAAAAAAAAAAAGTCAATTACTTTTGTCATTAAATATATCTCCTGTGGAAACAGATTCTAACAATTTGCCATGATAATTGAATTCAGTGTATTTGTGTATGTGTGCATGTGTGTGCATGTTTATGTTTATGTCTTAAAATCAGGAAAAGACTAGCAGCAACCTGTTAGAAAATGAGCAAGGACTATGAACAGAGTTCGCTGAAAAGGAAATACAAATAACATTACTCTTAAGATATTCAACCCTACTTATATTAACTAGTAATTACTAATTATGCTAATTACTACTAGTTAAAAACATACTGAGATACTGCCTTCTCATTTATCAAATTGGCAAAAATCCTGCAGTGTGATAACATGCTCTGG